CCAAGTTGGCAAGCAAGAGGGTTTGCAACATCTCGCCGCTGGAGGTGTTCTCGAACCACTTGTACGACTTACGGGCATGGGGACCGTCAAGTTGAATGGCTTCTTCGGCAAGCAAGGCGTGCCCACGGTGGCTGTCAAGAAGGCCCGAGCGCCTACTGCTTGCGCAGCTGCGGTGCCAGTTCTTACGCCGGTGGTGCCCCCTGCAGCTCGTCGGGGAGAAGTCGTGGCAGCAGCTCCTGGTCCCCGTGGCAGCCGTTTTCAGGGTGAAGGTGTCATGGCACCCCCTATTGCGGGACTGGGATCAGGGTACCAGGAGCCAGCGCAGTTGCCAGCTACCTCGCTGGGCGATCTTCGGCAAGCTGCAGGCGCAGATTGGTCAGATTTTTCCGCAATTTTTCAAAGAAGCTTGCAGCTGTGAAGGGGGTGCGCGTGAAGGCTCCGCCCCAGATGACGATGGTCCGAGTGGAGTTCCTGGTGCTTTGAAATTCGTCGGTCTAGCGAGCGTGGCAGAAGGTGGCGAGTTAACGGCGCAGGCTGGGCGCCAGGGCGCTGCGTCGCCACGTAGTCCGGCCAAAATATCCGGCGCAGCTAGGCGTCAGGACCTGTCTGGGTTTCCGCCGCGTGGTTTGCTCAGGCAGGCCCCGTCCGATCGCCCGATGCAGCTCGGAAATCGCAGCCTCGCTGAGACCGACAAGGTCGTTCTGAAGGCGATCGGGCCGGCGGCGAAGGAAAGGGGCCATTGGTGCGAGGAGGACAGTGGTCTCAGAGCCGTAAGTATGAATGTGCATATACATCAGATCTTTCGCGCCTCAGGTGCGGCAAGTTGGGGGCCGTGCTACATAGGCATTGTGAATGTGAAGGATGGCCCCCCAGAGCTTCGTCTACTTGATCCAATAGCTTAGGTGGTATCGCGAGCAGACGAGGCACCTGTACGTTGTCTTCTTTAGCGTGGGCTCTGGCCTATTCCGCAGGGTATTGCACTACCTCCAAGAGCTGATCATGTCTGTTGGCCTGGTCAAGGAGCTGAAGGGTGGCTGCCGTCAGGGGCGCTGTATCTGGATGGCTCAGCGTAAGAGGGGGAGTTTGAGAGGTACACCGCAGTTGGATGGGCCGTAGTGGCAGTGAAACCTACCTCAGATGAGCTCGACGTTGGGATCTCAGGCGTGCTGAACGAACCCTTCGTGGACATCGATGGAGGTGAGCCGGCCGCCTTGCTGCACTTGCTCAAGCGCGCGGTACCTACAGTGACTGCCGTCACCGACAGCTCGTTCATGATCAGGGGGCTCACGGAGCACGGGCCAGCCAGGGCCGCTGCCTATGGGTTTGCTTGGGTCGACCTGTGGGAGCAAGTTTGGCACCTGGTGGAGGAGCTTGGAGGTCTTAGTCCCGACGGGCTCACGGTGGTCAAGATTGCGTCACATGTGCCCAAGAAGAACCTGCCGGAGTGCGGCATCAGCTACAGGGACTGGCTCGGCAATAAGTTCGCGGACGCAGCAGCGAAGAGCGCAGCGGCATCCTGCCAAATCCGTGGAATTGACCGCCTTCGCTTACGGGGCGCTCATCAACTCGTCGAGGGAGTTGCGATGCGGGTTGCTGCAGTTGGTGCCAACACTGGCGGGGGGGACACGACGCATCGGAAGTCGAAGCCTAACAAGCCAGCGCCGAAGTCGGCATGCAAGGCGTTTTCAGAAGTTATTCGGTGCGACCTGCGTGGAGCGCCAGGCGAACGTTGGTGCGCAAGATGCAGCTGGCCTGAGAGGAACTCGGAGTGTTCTGGTGATACCGCGTCGGCAGCGTTGGCCCTCAACCTCAAGTTATGTAAGCCGCACGTGCTGGTGAAGCTGGTGCCTGTTCGTTACGCGGAGCTCACGAAGGACCTTCCGCTTGTGGCCTGTGCGGCCTGGGGGGCAGCTGCCTCCTGTAAGCCGTCAACCTTCGGTCGTGGATGTGGACGTCCCAGGGCCACAGGGAAGCTAGCCGTGGCAAGGCTGGCCAAAGGACTTGCGCCCACCGTTTCAGCGAGAGTCTTGGTCAACCTGGAGAGGATTGATGGTGGAAGCGGTCGTCCTGGCGCACCTACGGGTATACCAGGGGCTGTCGGTGATGGGATGGTCGTCCTGGCGCGTCTACGGGCATACCAGGGGCTGTCCATTCTGGAGTGCAGTGTATGTCGGGCGGAGAGCGACGTGGCTCTGCCGATCCGACGGGAGTGGGCCTGCGCCGCGACTCCGCTTGCTACGACCAGAGTACGTCGGGCGGAGAGCGGTGGAGCTCTGCCGACTCGACAGGGGTGGGCCTGCGCCGCGACCCCGAGCGGAGCCGCACACCGTGAAGGGCGACTTCGGGTTCGTGAAGCGGGACTTCATCACGGTCGGGGGGGCCCACCTCGAAAGGGGGGCCTCCCGCGGACGCGCCCGCGGCCGCGGGCGCGCGTCGGGTGGTCGGCACCGACCGCCTCAGGACGTGCCGATCTTCCTCCTCCTCTTCCTCCTCCTCCTCCTCCTCCTCCTCCTCCTCCTCCCCCATCTCCTCCTCCTCGATCATATCATCCCGGTTTTCCTCCTGATCGTCCTCCTCTTCATACTTCCCAGAGGATCGAAGACCTCTTGATTTTAGGTTCGACCTCTCATGTGGATGGTGTTTTTGCCTCATTCTCTACGCGTTCGTTTCCTTGCACATGGAGGTCCGACCTGCAGACTGGACCTGTTTTATCTCTTGGGCCCTCCTGCTGCTCAGTCCAATCGACCCCCTCGCGTCGTGACAACAGCGTGGCGGGAGGTTTTGGCCCATTTCCGGATGTTGCGCATAGCTTTCTGCATGCTCCCGAATGCACGTATATGCACGAGGAGCGCCGAAGGAGAGACCCAAGGAAGGACTTGACAGGTGAGGAAGCTCACGCGCCCGCTCCGACACCAGAGAGGTCCTTACTCGAACGGTCTGCCTGCACCACGAAGATGGAACCGCATGGCCTTGGCTGGCCTGGGCGCGAGCTGGGCTGGCGCCCGGCCCTTTGTGTGGCTGGGTGCGCCGACCTTCTGCACGTGAGAGCCCCAGCGCGTGGCCTCCGCACAGCCCGTGCGCGTGAACCCGGCCGCGCCCGCGTGCTTCCCCGGAGGTTCGGCGCAGGCTCGCTGCTGCGCGCTGCCGAGCAGAAGCGATGCCCCCCCCCCACGAGGAGGCCTCTCGCGGAGGCCCTTTGAAGGCGGCCTTGCGGAGGGCATCCCCAGGCCCTTCGAAGGCCTCCGAAGGAAGACTACCCAGATGCCTGCGACGGCCGCCTCTGTCCTGGCAGAGCTCGGCTGGGTCAGTGTCCCCCCCCCGCCTCGACCCGAGGGCCTCGAGGGTTGCCTCGCGGCCGTCCACGGGGCGCTTCCCAGCCAGAGAAGGGGGGAGGGGGGGGGGAGGACGGAGGAAGGAGGACAGAGGACAGGAGTGTGACAGTGAGGAGGACGAGGGGGAGGGGCAGGAAGGAGGGTGGAGGACGAGGATGGAGGATGTAGGATGGCGGGGAGGATGGAGGAAAGAGGGTGGAGGATGGAGGATAGAGGATAGAGGATGGAGGAGGAGAAGGAGGAGGAGGAGGAGAAGATCCAGTGTAATCCCAAGACAAGGGTTCATTTTCATTCAGGATAGTGCCCAAAAACCTGAGCCGCGTCAGGATACCGATCTTGGGACTTCAACGCAGCGAATAAATGTGATGGTGCGTCTTGACGGTCCTGAATTGTGCCAGAACGCCGTTCCCTGGACGTCAAATTGTGCATCAATGTAATGTTTGCGCCCTGACGCTCTGACATCCAGTCACACGCCAGTTCTGGAACGGTTACCCATGGGAATCCTCGAGACGGCCGTAAACTTCGCGGCGCCAAGGCGAGAGCCACATTTTGAAAACCGCCAGCCCTCCATCCGCGAAACTCTTGCACATGTTTCAAACGAATGTCGCGGCGCTAAGGCGGGAGCCACATGTTGAAACCACCCGCCCTCCATCCACGAAGCTCGCGGCGCTAAGGCGAGGGCCACATTTTGAAAGCGACCCGCCCTCAATCTGCGCAGCTCTTGCAGTTGTTTAAAGCGCATGCGCGCGGCGCTGAGGCGAGAGCCACATTTTAAAAGCGATCCGCCCTCAATCCGTGAAGCTCGCGCACATGTTTAAAGCGAGTGTGCGCGGCGTAATGCGAGAGCGAAAACCAGCCTCCCTCCATCCGCGAACCTTTGCGATTTTTTGAAAGCGAATGCGCGCGGCGCTAAGGCGAGGGCCACATTTTGAAAACAACTCGCTGGCCTCCATACGGAAAGCTCTTGCACATGTTTAAATCGAATGTGCGCAGCGCTAAGGCGAGAGCCACATTTCGAAAAGAACCGCCCGTGCTCGGCGCTATGGCGATGGCTACATTTTGACAGTGGCCCGCCCTCCATCCGTGAAGCATTTTCATTTTCATACGACGAGTGTGCGCGGCGCTAAGGCGAGAGCCACATTTCGAAAAGAACCGCCCGTGCTCGGCGCTATGGCGATGGCTACATTTTGACAGTGGCCCGCCCTCCATCCGTGAAGCATTTTCATTTTCATACGACGAGTGTGCGCGGCGCTAAGGCGAGAGCTACATCTTGAAAAGGGCCCGCCCTCAGTCCGTGCAACTCATGCAAACTGAAATGAAGGTGTGCGGTGCTAAGGCGAAAGCTACATGTTGAAAGCGGCCCGCCCTCAATGTGTGAAACTCTTGCAGGATCATAAATGACGAGGAAGTTTTAGGAGAAACGCCCAGCCCGCCCTACCGACCGGCTGCGGGGTATGACAGTGAGGAGTTATCTGTAAGAGGGATGACGGAGGAGGAGGAGGAGGAGGAGGAAGAAGAGGAGTAGGAGGAGGAGAAGGAGGAGGGTGCGGAGGAGAAGAGGGGAGGAAGAGGGGAGGAAAGGATGGAGGATGGAGGAGAGAAGGAGAGAGGGAGGGGTGGAGGACGCCGGCGACGGCGACTCTGGCGGCGCCCGACGAACCGTCCGAGGACTGCTTCGCGGCCGTCCGCGAGGCGTTCCCCGACTGGTGGCTCGGCCTCTCCGTCCCGCAGCTGCCGCCAGCTCAGGCGGGGACCCTGGCGCGCCTCTGCAGCCCGCGGGGCGCCTCTAGCTGGGTCCGTCGGTGTCGGCGTCGGCGTCGTCGCCATCGTCGTCGTCGCCATCGTCGTCGTGGCTCGTCGTTGCTGTCGGCGTCGTTATCGGCGTCGTCGTCGTTGTCGTCGTCGGCCACCTCTCCCTCCCTCCTCCCTCCCTCCTTGTCCTCCCCAGCCTCCGCCCTCCATCCTCCTCCTCCTCCTCCTCCGCCCTCCATCCTCCTCCTCCTCCTCCTCCTCCTCCTCCTCCTCCTCCGGTCCAACTCATCCTCCATCTCCGCGCGCGCTCCCGCGCGCGCGCGCCGCCCAGCGCGTATTATGAGTAGGAGAGGCACCACTGTAAACCCAAGACGCATCAACGACTTGATAAGAAACCTTCCCTGCACGCTCCATGTTCACAGGTCCCTACAGTACTGCAATGTATCTTCAATGCGGGAAGTGGCCCATCAGAAGACAAACGTCTGAGAAACTTCAATCGCGCCGAAGCAAAAATTCAGGGACTCTTACGCCGCGGATCAACGTGACTGTTGCGTCCTGACAATCCTAAACCATGCCAGACCGAAGTTCCACGTTACTGCTGCGTCCCCAACCCTAAGTCGTGCCAGAACAGAATTCCTGGGGCTTCAATCGTAAGATTCCTTGAAACTGCTGTAAGTTTTTAAGACGAATGTGCGCGACGCTAAGGCGGGAGCCGCGCTTTGAAGATGGACCGCCCTCTACCTTTGAAACTATTGCAAACTTTGGAGACGAATGTGCGCGTCGCTAAGGCGAGAGCCACATTTTGAAAGCAACTCGCCCTCCATCCATCGAGCCCGTGCGAACTTTTAAGACGCATATGCGCGGCGCTGTGGCGAGAGCCACATTTTGAAAACAAGATGTCCTTAATTCTTGAAGCTGCTGCCCACTTTTAAGTCGAATATGCGCGGTGCTAAGGCGAAGGCCAAAGTTTGAAATCGGCCGCCCTTCATCTGTGATGTTGTTCAAAATTTCAAGTTGCAGGATCATCCATGGTAAGGAGTCACAGGCGAAACGCCCGGCCCGCCCTAACGACACGTCTGGGTGTGCGACAGGAGGATTTTGTATTCTGAGAGGGATGCAGGAGGTTGGAAAGAGTCGGAGGGGGGGGGGAAGAGGATTCTATTCCACATCTTCGGCTCCTGCAGAATCTCGCCTCGGGCGCTGAGACCGGGATGAAAGGTCGGCTGGAGGAGCAGAGTCAGGTAGAGGCCGAAAGAGGGGACGAGGAGGAGGAGGAGGAGGAGGCGGAGGAGGCGGAGGCGTGAGGAGACGGAGGAGACGGAGGGACGAGGACGAAAAGGCGGACGTCGGGAGGGACAGGGAGAAGGACGCGGGAGAGGGATGCGCGAGAGGGCGAGGGCCAGCGGAAGGGGCTGAAGGGGCGGCGGCGGCGAAGGCAGCGACGACGTGGTGGCGGCGGTGGCTGCTGCAGCAGCAGCTGCAGCAGCAGTGGCAGCTGCGGCAGCGTCAGCCAGCGGCCAGTGACGAGCCGCCGGATGCCTAGCTCGCTCTCCTGTGGCGCGTGGCGGTCGCACCGCCCAGCCCGCTGTCGTCGCCGCCGCCTCGCCAGGAATCCCTTCCCCTGTCGGTCCCGAGGCACGTCCCGGGGCCCGTCCTGGCCAGTGTTCCGAGCCGGGTCCGGCCGTGGCGACGGGGACCCTCTGGACGCGCCCAAGAAGCTCCGAGACGACGACGACGCACGACGCCGCCACCGCCGTCGTCGTCGTCGTCGCCCCGTCTGCGAGGTCTTCAAGTGGGTGTCCTCCCACTGTCCCTCTGCGGGCGGCGTCTGGCTGGATGATCTTCCCGCCAGGCGGGGGGCCTTGCAGTTGCAGGGCTGCCCCCTCCGCGTCCCTTGCAGCGCTGGCGCCCCGGTGTCAGCAAGTTGGCAATAATTCTCGTTTCGGAACTTTCTGGGTGCCTCTGGAGATTCTCGCCGCCACGGCGGGGCGTAGCTGGAAGAAATATGGCCAGGAGGGACCCCGGGAAGGGTCTGGGATCGCATTCGGGTTGGTTTCGGTTTTCTCCTCCGCCTCCTCCGCCTCCTCTGGACGAGGGGGGGGGAGATGAGGAGGGGCAGGTGCAGCAGGAGGAGAGGAGGATGCCAAGCGCGGCGAGGGTGCGGTCCTCGATCTGCCGGCTGTGTTCTTTTGAGGAGGGAGGCGGGCACGGCAATCCCCCCACAGGCAGCGTGCAGGGCGCCACCACCGTCTGGGCCGTGGCCTTCGGGGGCAACGTTACGGGGGGGATAGGCTCAGGAGGGAACGCGTCGGACCCCCCAAGCGCCCACTCCTCGCTGATAGGGGGCCTGGTAGCCCACCCCGCCCTGGAACGTGCGGTCGAGGGCCATCGCCGATGCATCGGCGACTCCGGGTCGATTTGGTCTCCACCCCACCCCCCGAGCCAGTGCCCCCTTGTCGTTCTCCCGCAGGCCTCGACCCGCGCGTGCTCGCCGAATATCTCTGGGTGGAATTCTGGGGGGCGATCATTTTCGCCCAAGGCTGTTCGAGAACTGCAGAGGGCATCTATTGATCTGCCTTGCAATGGCCTTAATCGCACACATGCTACACTGAGGGAGGTTGGGGTGGCCGTGAGAGGTGATGAGGAGTAGGAGGAGAACGACTATTCCGACTCCGACTGCACTGCCAGTCTTCTCGACTGTCGCCGTTTCGCATTCATGTTGGAGGTGATTCCCATGTGGGCATTCAGTCACCGCCACATCGATTATATTGCGCTGGATTCGTTTTCGTTCACGGTGACTTGCATACCTCAGAGGGCATATTGAAGCACTACATTGGATTTTCGCACACATGCTACACAGAGCGTGGTGGGTGTGGGGGTGCGTCCGGAGCTGGAGCCAGAGGAGTAAGAAAACAACCGAACCTCAGTAATTAGGGGCAGCCTCTTCCAGAAGGTCATGCTTTTGCAGCAGCTCGTTGAAAGCATAGGGTATCGTAACATGGGCCCTGCACTGTAGTGCGCCACCGCAGGCGCCAGCACCGTCACGATAAGGGGGGTTCTAGGAGGTGTGGTGCTGTTTGTGTGGTAGAGGGGCCACGAGGGACGTCCTTGCCGTCGCCTGCAGGTCAATTACTCGATGCCCTTGTGGGCTGACCTACTTTCTCGCACTTTCTTCGCACCGCTTCTCCCCACTTAGCCTGCCAGGGTGGTTCGAGATCGAGCTTGTTATTCGCATGCGCACGTCGTTCTGGGGTACTGTGAAGGCCTTACGGCCGGTGCCACCGACCTTGTATGCGAGGAGGACGAAATGGGACAGGTGGACGAGGAGGGGGGGGGCTCTTCGGACTTCTGGTGCCTCTTGGGGGTCTCTCGGGAGCCTCCTGAGGGCCTTTGGGATCTTCCTGGGGGGCTGCATGGGTGCCTCCTGGATGTCTCTCGGGCCGAAGGTTCCAAAGCTCCCGTCGAGACCCCTGCCTGTGCACGCTCTGGGAGCCGTCTTGGGGGCCTCTTGGGCCGTCTTGGAGGCCTCTTGGGCTTTATGGCGGCCCTCTTGGGTCTTTTCGGGGCCCTCTTGGAGACTTCTTGGGCGATCTTTGAGGCCTATTGGGCCATCTTGGAGCGTCGGGAAGCCGAGACAGTGAGCACACCAAAATCTGTCAAAGACACAAGGAACATCTACGATGCTTACCTCTTGGGGCCCTCTTCGGAGTGCGTTTGGAGGCCTCTTGGCTCGTCTTGGAGGTGACTTGGACCGTCTTGGAGGCCTCTAAGGGAACTCTTGGCCGGTCTTGGGATTTTGTGGGCCCCGAGGAGGGATGGTATTCGGACCCAGGACTCCCCGCGGGACCTCCCCCCCGGACCCCCCGCAGGACCACCCTCACCCCCCCCCCTTGCGGGAGAGGGATCAAAGTGAAGGGGTACGTGCACTTCGAACTAAGGTATTTGTTCGCCGTCCGACGTCTTCAGACGCGGCGCCTTCGATAGGCAAAGTCAGGGCAATGGAAAAGAAGGAGGGAAGGAGGGAGGGATTTTGGATTGCCTGCTCGTTGAGGCAACTAGCCTGTCGAGTTACGGTGGCGCTGCGGCTAGCGATGCAAACTGAAATAGTGAGATCGCACGGGCACCTAAGGATTGCAGTATACAGTACCAGTACACCAAACCCAACTAACCTTAATCCTCCCACCTCCACGCAAAATCCCCCACCGTTCAACTGGGCAACTGGACGGCAAACGAGAAAAGCTGCGACAGTGGCTTGCTGTGCCCGTCCAGGGCATTCGGGCGGAGGGGCGGAGGGAGGGAGGGGGAAGTAAGTACGTAAAGCGGGAGGGAGGAAGGCTGGGACGCAGACCACATTCCCTACTCGAGGTTGCCGGCGAATGGCAACGGCTCAGCTTGGCATCTATGAGGCATGGCGGTACCGCAGTGAGAACACCATGCGGAAATTCTATGCTGAGACAGGTGGCCGTCATAGCGGCCGCCGGCCGAGGAGGAAGATCCATCGCACGGCACTCGCAGGAGGAATCTTCGCACCCGATCCATCCTGAACCCCCACCCTCAACAATACGCAGCTTGGCCGGCAAACGCTAAAGGGGCTTACTGCAACGGCCTGGGCACTGTGGAGTAGGGGCGGGAGGAGGAGGAATAATGCTGCTGAGGAAGACGAGGAGTGGGTAAGGCTGGGACGCAGACCTGGGCCCTAATCCCTCTTCTTTCTCGCTCGCCGGTCCTCCTCTGCGAGAACACATCGGCTTTGTAATCGAGCAGTGCTCGCGAGAGTGCACGGGCCGCGCCGAGAAACGCCTCCATCCCGATCCTCCCCTCCTCTGACAAATAAACCCGCCCACCAATCCGACCCATATGCACGAGACGCACCACGGTCTAAGACACGCAGGAGAGTAGCGTTAGCTGACAGCCGTGGGGCTCGACCCGTGCGGCAGGGCGAAAGGCGAACAGGCTCGCTTAGCAGCGTCTGAAAATGTGGTCTGCGCTAGGACTGGGGACTGGGACGGGCAAGGCGGCAGGCTGCGCAAAGGGAGACGGCGGTCCTGCAGGCTTTGTGTCGCTTGTTCCCTGTCCAAGAAATCACATAGCGATAAGCTGCCAAAATGGCGCTGTCTTGTGTGCAAGAGAGTGCGCACGCTGACTGTCCGATCCTGCCCAACAACCCGACTGACCCGCCAAGCATCCGTCCCTTCAAAGAGAAAAAAAGGCGGGCAGCAGCACGAGAGGCAGGCAGGGAGGGTACAATGATGTGCGGGGCGGCGAGGGGCGGGGCGGCTGGCGGCGAGAGAGCGAGAGAGCGATAAAAAGGGGCAGGTCGCTTCCTCGCTCGTAATCCCTCCACAAACTCCTCCCATCCTGAACCTGAAACTCCCTCCAACCTTCTTCTGGCGAAAGATGCCGCTGCCGAGATTCGGCTGCGTCGTCCATAGAAATGTGCGTGCGGCAAGACACGACCGTGGTAAACAGCGTAGAAGCTTCAGCGCCCCATCGAAACTCCCAGGATGGTTGCCACGAGAGTAGTGAGTTCCGTGAAAAATTCCAGGGGTTTGGACCTGACTCCGCTGTACCTGCAACATCCCTAGCACTAGCCATGGAGGCATGCCTGAAATCAGCCGCCTCTGACGTACTTGGCAAATCTGGTGGTAGGGGTCGACACCACATATATGACTTCATGTTTGCAGAAACGCAGTGCGGCAAGAGAAAGGGCGGCCGGCGGCGAGGGAGCAAAAGGGGGGAGGCTCCCTCTCTCGTGAACCCACCAGTCCCTCCGTCTAACCCCCACCCATCCTTCTACTTAGCCCAAGATGCCGCTGCCGAAATTTGGCTGCAACGTCCATGGAGCTATGCGTGCGGCAAGGCGCGCCTTACGTCTATCTCTGGCCTCAGCACGTTTGCGTTGGATCATTTCGCGCTGTGCATCCGTGAGCTGGACTGGAGTAGGCAAAGGAGGGGGGGGCGAAGGCGGCCTGGAGCGGGGGGGGGGGAGGCGAATCGGACTCCATCCGATCGAGGGGTTCTGACGCGACGTCGGCTGCGCTGGCAGCCACAGGCGAGCTATGATATGGCTCAGGCATCTCACCCCCGGCAGCTCGCCTGCCCTGCTGCATCACCCCAGTGTCGACTCTCCCGTCGATTCTGCACCAGCACCGCCGACCATCTCGAAGCCGTCGGGCCTGCGGGGGCTGCGATCGCGGCTGTGCCGTGTCCGCCTCGCCGCCGCTTTCGTCTCATGGTCGCCGAACTCCGCCGCGATGTCCGCACGTCCAGCTGGGGCCGGGATGCTGCCACGGCCTCGATGCCCGCCCAGCTGCTGCTGCCTGGCTATGGCGTCCACGAGCAGCGGCTGGCCCGGCGGGCGCCTTGCACGCTCCTGCTCGCGCTTGGCGCGGCGTGTTGTGGCCGCACGAGCACGCACCGCTGCGAGGTCCTCGCCGTCGGCCCCTGCAGGCGCCGCTGGTGCACCGTCAGCTGCCGCGGGCGCGGGCGGCGCGGGGCCGGCGGCAGCTGCGGGGTCAGCTGCTCCGTCGACTGGGCTCGCTACCGCGGCCTCGGCGGCGGGTGCGGCGGCAGCGAGCTCCTCGGCCGTCGGCATGCGGCCCAGGCGCTGGGGCTGGCCAGCGAAGGGCCTGACCTGCGGGCTGCCGCCTTCAGGTGGGACTGGGACCTCGGCGGCAGCTGCCGGGGTCCTGGCTGCCGCCATCGCCGTCTGCAGCGTCGTCAGCATTGCCGTCAAGCTGCTGAGCTGGGTCGTGAGCGTCGCCTGGCCGCTCTGGAGCTCCGCGATGGCCGCCAGCTGCACAGGCATGCCTTGAGGCGTCTGAGGCGTCGCGCCTCCAGCCTCTGGCGTCCGCGTGCCCTCCACGTCCGCGCCCATGTCCACGTCGTCGGCTGCACCTCCAGCCGCAGGGCTTGTCTGCATCGCCTCGAGCTGGTCCAGCAGCATCTTGGCCCTGTCATGCTCCTTCTCGCGCTGCGTGCACTTCGCATCGGCCTCCTGTAGTCGTGCCTGCGCCTTGTCGACCGCCTCACGGGCACGCTCGAGCTTGCCAAGGGCCTTGGCGACGTAGGCTCGTTGGCGGTCACAACGCTCACCTGGCGCACGGGCCGTGATAATCATGCATAGCTGGACGCTGTACTCCAGCTTCTGGTTTGTAAGGATCTCCTCGGAGGCCCCGAGGTCGATGGAAGCTTGAAGGCGCTTCCCTGTCGCAGCTGCAATCTGCCGTAGTGTCCGCCTGTGCGCCGCCAAGGCGCGCTCGTCGCTGGGAGGGTCAACCCACGCTGGGTGCAGCCTCGCATCCTGCGGCAGCGCGGGGAGGATCCCGAGCGCTGGGCTGCGCACCTCCTCGTCGGCATCCGAGATGCCGTTGCCGTCGGGGTCGGGCTCGGGCTCATCCGCGAAGCGTACACGTGAGCCCGACCGCGGACGTTCCTCTCGCCTCTCGCGCTCACGTCTGCGGCGGCGGGAGACGGAGCGTCGGCGGGCTGGCGTCCCTGGGGATGTCGAGCTCCGTCGGCGAGGATGCTGCTCTTGCTGCTGCTGCTGCTGCTGCCGCTGCTGCGGTGGGCCTCCATGCCCGCCTCCTCCGAGTGGGCCCGACGGGCCTGGGTAGCAGCACCTGCAGAGCCTTTCATGTGGGCCGTTGAGGCTGCCACAGTCGTCGCACCACCAGCCTGGCGGTGGGGGCGGCGGCGCGCCCTGCCACGGCGGGGGGGCGGTGCCGCCCGTCGCGCCCGTGCGGCCCTTGCCGCTGCCTCCCTTGCCCATGGCACTGTGGTGGGCGGCAAGGAGGCGAGCGGCGGCCGCGACCCGCAGCAGCGTGCGCGACTGTGCACGTCTCAGGCGCGCGCGCCGATGCCACGCGGGCTCGGCGCGCCCGCGCCTGGGAGGTCCAGCGCCGCCAGCGGGCCCAGCAGGCGGGCCAGGCGGAGGGCTGCGCGAGCGGGCGCGGCCAGCCGCAGGCCGCCCAGGCGCGGATCGCGCGGGACTGGGGCGCGGGCCAGCGCGCGTGGCTGCCGCCCCGGGAGAGGTCGCCGTACCTGGTACGGCACCCAAACCTCTCGAACCGGGGCGGCGGCTAGGAGGGAGGGAGGGAGGGAGGAGGCGACGGAGGAGCAAGTTCGAGGAGGAGGAGGAGGAGGAGGAGGAGGAGGAGGAGGAGGAGGAGGAGGAGGAGGGAGGGAAACAGGGAGGGAGGAGGAAGAGGAGGAGGAACGAGAGGACGATCGGGTCGAGCAGACGAGACCTTCTTCTGGACTCGCCGCCCCTCCCGACGGTGCAAGGCCCCGCCCGCCGCCTGCGCCCCCCCCGCCCCCCCTCCCCTGGGCTGGGAGACCAGCGGACATCTCCTGGGACGCGGAGAGGGGCCACGCGCTGCGCCTGGAGCGGGTGGGGGGTGTGGAGGGCGAGGACGCGGGGTTGGATGGGAGAGGGTGGGAAGGGGAAGGGGGACGAGGGCGGGAAGGAGGGGAGGGGGAAGGGGCGGACCAGGGGAGGGGGAAGGTGGGACGAGCGGGGGAGGGGATGGAGAGAGACTCTCCGATGGCCGCTATTCATGTCAACCCGCGGGAACAACTCGCAGGGTGCGGGGGGACCTCCCCCCCCTGGGCAGGGAGCGGCGGGGCCAGGCCGATGACCTGGCCCGAGAGTCCCATGTGCCAGCGCGGGGCGCACCAAGGGATTCCGGCTCGACTCGAGCGCCTCCCTTGTTTCTTTCCGTGGACCTGGCTCGCCTTGTTTCGTTCCGTGGACCCGGCTCGAATCGAGCATTCGCTTCCTCGACACCACAGCCCACGATTCCGGTTCGAATCGAGCATTTCCGTTGCTTCCCGTCGCGGACAGGACCGCACATGGACATTCAAATTACACCTTGCGGTGCAAGACGTTCCCCATGGATACTTCATTGTCATGATTGGTTGCGTGGCGATGAGGGGTCATGAGTGGACACACATGTTCGTAATTATATGCTCATGCCCTGAGGTCGCAGTTCACATTGAGATCAACATTGCTTTTCTAATTGGGGGGATCGGCGGCATCCCCTTCAAGTTCGCAAGGGCACAATCTGTTTGTCAACCTACTGCTGGAGGAGGAGGAGGAGGAGGAGGAGGAGGAAGAGGAGGAGGAGGAGGAGGAGGAGGAGGAGGAGGAGGAGGAGGAGGAGGAGGACCCCCCCTCCCCAGCAGGCGCGCGACCTGCTGCCGCGCCGACGCGTCCCGCTCGCTGCGAGCCGCGCCCGCCCCCTTCCACACCCCCCCATCCCCAGGAGAAGTGGCTGCCGGACTCCCAGCCTGCCCTGAAGGCCGCCCTGCTCCAGCCCCTCCGTCGTCTCCTCCTCCTCCCTCCTCCTCCTCCTCCTCCTCGCCTCCTCCTCCCTCCTTCGCCTCCTCCTCCTCCTCCTCCTCCTCCTCCTCCTCCTCCTCCTCCTCCTCCTAGGTGAGCAGCGTGGAAGCCCTTTTCTCGGAGGCCGCCCGAATACCTCAGCCCCCAACCCCATTTTGGGGCGGCCTCGCGACGGGTGCGCAGCCGCGATCGCGCTCGCCCGCGTGGCATCGGCGTGCCAGGCGACTACGTGGCACCGCCCGTGCCGTGCTGCGCCGTGAGGCACACGTGGTACGTCAGCTGCAGCATCACGGCAGTGAGCCGCCCAGCATGGGCAAAGGCGGTGACAGGAATTCGTCAGATTTGTATACCAAATGTGGCGTATGTGGCACGAGCGAATGGAACTCGTTGTTGGTGCAGCGAGACAGGTATTGTCGGTGCGGAGTACAGCTCATGCTGCACAAGGGCAAGGCTAAGAAGGACAACGGCGGTGGCGGGCTGGGCAAAGGCCAGGACCATAACCTAGCTTTGCGAGCATCCAGCAACGCCAGCAGCAGCTCCTCGGCCGACATCCTGCTGCGCGCTTGGGGCCACCAGCGATCCCAATCTCAAGGCGGCGCTTCAGGCGGAGCTTCAGAAGGTACAGACGGCGGGATCGAAGGCCACTGCAGCCATCACCCCAGGCGAGGCCCATCGACGTGCCGAGGCGGCATGGCGAGAGGCTGATCGCCGCCCAGGCGGTCCGCAAGGCGCGCGAGCAGCTCAGCAGGGCGCTCGAGCGCGAGGAGGAGGCAGTCCGAGAGCTGGCCCAGACGGAGATCGCCAAGCGCATCGCTGTCAGGGCGCTGGCGGCGGAGGCAGGGCTCACGGCGGAGAGCGTCGCGGAGCCCGCGCAGCCAGGCGGTGGCGACAAGGCGAGCTGCGGCAAGGCCTTCGACGTCGCTTGGGACGATAGCTTCTTCGAGGACTTGCAGCGGCGAGTACGAGTGCGAGGAGGCCGAGAAGGCCGAGTTGTTGCGCCTGGAGCAGGAGTTCATCAAGGCCAAGTCCGCGATTGGAGAACGTGGAGACCAAGTTCAGGCATGGAAGATCAAGATGGACGAGATGCAGAAGTCTGTGCGTCAGCGCATGGCCGGAAGCGCAGGGGGGCCGACGGCGAGGCTCACGAGGGCGGCGGCAAGCAGGCGGAGGCGCCAGCAGCCAAGCCCGAGGGCGCGGCCGCGGAGCCGACGCCTCCCGTTGCTGGGGCCAATGGCGCTGACGGCAGTGCAGAAGCAGACGCGAGGATCGAGCAGGAGATCCAGAGGGTTCGTGAGGCGAAGGAGGCGGCGGCCAAGGCAGCGGCAGCCTCCGCGTCCCAAGCGGCCAAGGCGGCAGGGCGCGGTGCTGCGGCTGGCGCGGCTGGGGCGGCTTCGCCCACTAAGGGCGGCTCGAAGTGAGCGCAGGCGGCCTCGGCGGGCCTATCGAGCGCTGAGCTCGTGGGCGGCGCCCGCCAGGCCGCCGCCGCTCCTTCGCCGTCCGAGGGTGGGCCCGCGCCCAAGGGCGCAGCGGTGGCAGGTTCGGCCCCTGAGGCGTCGTCGAGCGGCCCGAGCCCCCCTTTCTTCCTCTTCGGCTTTGTCGTCGGCTACAACGGTGTCGCCGAAGCCAGAAGGCCTGGCCAACTCCATCGGTTCGCAGAATGACATAGTGCAGATAGCCTTTAGTAATATCACGATGATGGGCAACAAGTCTTGGAGCTACCTCGCGGAGCTGGCCAAATCGCGGTCCATCCAGTTTTTCGCGCTGTGCGAGACTCACGCCACTTCTTCGCAGGTTGCCGAGTGGGCCAGGAAGGCGAGAGCTTCCAACCTGAGGTGCTATGCCAACGGGGCCCGACCGACTGGTAGACAGTGTTCGACGGATTCGGGGCAGGCTAAGGCGAACGAGGGAGGTGAAATGTTTCTCGCCGAGGGCCACGGACAGGCCCATCCACTGGCACGCGGCAAGCTAGGGGCACTCAGTGAGGTAGGACAGTCAGTGATCGACGGATTTGCGCCTATGGCGGTTCATCTCCAGGGGGTTAGTATTGCCATAGTCATTTTCTACAGTAGATGTGGTTTAAAGTTCTCTGGTCCGAATCTTGGGCGATTCGCTAGACTAGGCGCGTCGCTACTGGCGATCCAGCTTCCCTGGAACATGCTGGGGGATTGTAGCATGAATCCGATCGAGCTCCAGCGCTCGGGGCTTGTGTCTCGGCTCGGGGCGTCAGCATTGCAGGCCCCCACACAATGCGCATGTGCTAATGCTAGCGGCTCCACGCACATCGATTTTGGGGTGGCCTCGGCTGCGGCGATTCCCTACGTCGCGGGCCTGAGTGCGATTGAAGACGTGCCGTGGAGCCCTCACTGCGCCCTGTTGCTTCAGTTGCGAGGACACAGTGAGCAGCTCATCACCGGGTCCCTGGTTTTACCCGAGCGTTTTGCCCGAGTCTCGCGGCCTCAGACGCAGGCCACGGAGGGGTCGAAGCCCCCCCCAGAGAGAGAGAGAGAGAGATAGGAGAGATAGAGAGATAGAGAGAGAGAGAGAGAGAGAGAGAGAGAGACAGAGAGAGAGAGAGAGAAGAGAGAGAGGAGAGAGAGAGAGAGAGGAGAGAGAGAGAGAGGAGAGAGAGAGAGAGAGAGGAGAGAGAAGAGAGAGAGAGAGGAGAGAGGGAGAGAGAGAGAGAGAGAGAGAGAGAGAGAGAGAGAGAGAGAGAGAGAGAGAGAGAGAGAGAGAGAGAGAGAGAGAGAGAGAGAGAGAGAGAGAGAGAGAGAGAGAGAGAGAGAGAGAGAGAGAGAGAGAGAGAGAGAGAGAGAGAGAGAGAGAGAGAGAGAGAGAGAGAGAGAAGAGAGAGAGAGAGAGAGAGAGAGAGAGAGAGAGAGAGAGAGAGAGAGAGAGAGAGAGAGAGAGAGAGAGAGAGAGAGAGAGAGAGAGAGAGAGAGAGAGAGAGAGAGAGAGAGAGAGAGAGAGAGAGAGAGAGAGAGATAAAGAAAGAAATAAATAAAGAAAGAAAGAAAGAGAAAAGCAGCTCGAGCGAAGCAATGCCCTTTTCGGCGATTTGTCAACCCAGCCTGACAGCGCCACTGCCGCGGGCGAGGGCCCTCTGGGTTTCTCGGGCGGTTCGCTTCCAGGGGCTGAAGACCCTGAGGGTCCTGAGAGTTGGGCTGGGTCCAATTCCAATTCGGCGGTTTAGACGAGGGCGAAGTTGATCCGTGGGCCGAAGAGCCCAACTTCGGCGAGCACCTCCGCCCTCCCCCGCTCCCTCCCTCGCCGTCGGTCGGGTCGGTCGCCCCCCCCCCCCCCCCCCCCCCTAGTCCTGGCGTTTCGCGGTTAGGTGGTGCTCCGATGATTTCGAAGGGGGCACCCACGGCGAGAGCCTCTACGAATGAAAATGTCGAGACCCCTCCCAGCGAGTGCCGACCTATTCCAAGTGGGGCGACCCCAGATTCCCCTTCGCACGGTGGAACTCCTCCCACTGTTCCGCCCTCTGTGCCCGATGCTGATGCGCTTGCCTTGCCTCATGCCCTGCGGGTTTTGGCATGAGCTAATTCTGGCTTCCATGTGCGCTCCCTTGACGACGTGTGGAAACCCATCCAGCAGTCGTTGGCATTTCATGTTGGCGGTCGGTCCGTGCCCCCAGTCAGCGGAGCCTTCGTGGCTTGGACCGCAGCTGTGGAGGCGACGCATGGAGCAGGAGATTCGCACCACAGCCTCTCTCGAGCACGGGGTCCGACGATGACGGTCCGCCAGGTCAGGCAGTCCACTCACTTCCGCGACATGCCCTTCCAGGACACGATCGCCAATTGGTGGGAGAGGGCGGCCGTCGTCGTCAGCAAGATTTCCAAGCACGGGCAGAGGAACAACGGCCAAGCGCAGATCGACGCGCTGTGCGAGGCTGCTGTTAAGTTGTCAGGTCACTTCCACGACGGTGTTCAGAAGATGGTCAGAGTACACACGGATGCCACGTCATGGGACTTGTGGGTCGATGTGCTCCGACACTTGAGGGGCACCCCCACGGCCCAGCTCGAGCTGTTCTCCAAGGAGGCGGCGCGTGGAGCGAGCAGGGCCAGGGCACGGGCGTTGTCGGCATCGTTAACAGGTTTCAAGCAGCGGGTTACAGCGAATGAGTGCACTGGAGGGTTGTTCAAGGCCCCCAAGGAACAGCCAGTCAGCTCGACCCCGGTCACGGTGGAGGGTCGCGCCATTCAGCACCCTCGAGATGTCGTGGAGCACCGTGCTGGACAATGGCACAAGCTCTGGACGTCGGCACACATGGATTGCGAGAAGGTCGATGAAGTTGTGGCCATCATCCGAGGTCGAGCACGTGAGGAACCGTTGGGGCCTTTGACTCTGGATGAAGTGCGTCGCCCAGTCAGGTCGATGAAAGCTAAAGCTGGCATGGGCATGGACCGCCTGTCGCCAGTGGATCTGGAACGTCTACCTGACGACGCTTTGAAGGATTTAACGGCGCTTTTCAATATGTTCGAAGAATGTCAGACATGGCCCCGGCAGCTCATGGGAGTGGTCGGGGGACTGCTGCCCAAGAAGGCTGAAGGTCAGTTTCGAGTTTTAGGATTGATTTGTATGATATGTCGTGTATGGAGTATGGCGCGTGAACCAGTTGTTCAGCAGTGGGCGTCGGATTCCCAACCTGACTGGAACGCTGCGGTGAAGGGCAACAGCGCCCTGCGCGAGGCGTACAGGAAGGCGTTGAACGAGGAGCTCTTCGCCCGCATGAAGAGGGCGAAAGGGCACGCGCTCATGGACATGGGATACCCTTGTCAAGGGTGCCGTTAGGTACGGACTCCCAGTAGCTATGCCGGGGTTGGAATTGCAGATATGTGCGAGCCCTCGGATGTTGGATCAGGGAGATGCAGTTTCTTCGCCCTTCCAACCCACCAGGAGCATCATCCTGGGGCTGCGCAGCGGGACTCGTTTCGCGAGATGCGTCACGGGCCTGGT